TTTCCACCCTGAATCTTGCAGAGGGCTGCAGACAAAGACTTTGCCCTCAAATGGGTCCATCATCTATGTGCTGCTCATGTGGACTAGCCCGTGCTGATTTTATTTGGTCCTGGTTTGCCTGTCTAACCCCAAGGTCTTCATGCTCCCTTGTTCTGGAGACCAGATGGATAAATGCGTAGAAACAGATGGGAACTGAGAGATCAGCATTCAGCAGGGGCAGGTGGAGGGTGTGTGGTTCATGAGTTGGAGGAGGCGCTAGCTCCCTCCCGTCTTGGGCTCCTGGAGGGAGGCGGACAGAACAGCTGTGGGGAGAACGTGGCTCTGTGGGGTTGCTGGAGCCTATGTAAGTAAGCACAGGGCTGGGGCTATGCTGGTTGGGTTTGGGTTTCCTTAAGTCCTACAAGTGCTCGAGCAGCCAGTGGAGGGGGCGGGGTCTAGAGCAGGGGTTGCAGACTAGAAGTCTGTGGGCCAGGCTTGGCCTGCAGGTGTGTGTGGTGTGGTTCGCACAGTGTTGTTGGTTTTTTTTTCCATTTAAATTAGTTACCAGTATTTTTAAAATAGAAAGACTCATCTTTAAATCTGGATTTCCAGGGGCACCTGAGTGGCTCAGTTGGTTAAGCGACTGCCTTCGGCTCAGGTCATGATCCTGGAGTCCCGGGATCGAGTCCCGCATCGGGCTCCCTGCTCGGCAGGGAGTCTGCTTCTCCCTCTGACCCTCCCCACTCTCATGTGCTTGCTCTCTCTCATTCTCTCTCTGTCAAATAAATAAATAAAATCTTAAAAAAAAAAAATCTGGATTTCCAGCTTCTTGTGAAAAATGAGAATGTGTAACAGCACTGGGCGTAGGTGGGCAGTCAGCTGAAGGCCTCCTGCACACAGGGCTGCTCCGTGCACGTGCGTGGGAGCAGTGCTCCCAGGAACAGAGTCCCCAAGGGCGTCAGTGTCAGCAGGCAGTAGTCAGAAGGCCTCACACTGACCGGACCGAGAAACGACCTCGTGCAGAGCTCCTCGGGCCTTGCAGCAAGAGGCCACGCATGGCTCAGGGCGGGGACTGTCTCTGAGGGCTGGCAAAAGGAGGCAACTGTTTGCCTCTCTTCTCCACCTCAGGGCTGGGAGTGCTCCGTCTTCCTATCACCAGAAGCCAGTAGCCCTGCAGTCCAGGATCTCGCGGGCAGAAACGCAAGTCTCTGCCTGCCCCCAGGACACACGCTAACATGGCCCCAGCCGTCCACGGCACCGCCTCAGCACTGTGGAACAAGAGTCGGGGCCTTTTCAAACAGCATCAAGCACATCTTAGGAAAGGGCCAGCATGTGCAGCAGAAATGTTCAGCCGGGGATTTGGAGCGGGGAACTCAAACTTATCTCCAGCTCAAGTACCACCAAGCCCAGCAGACACGAGTGGGAGCTGAGGCTCAAGTGGGTCCTATGACCTGAACCCAGAATGTGCCAAAAGTGAGTATTCCACACTCCCTTCATTTTATCCTTGAAAGATGGGAGAACCCAGGGAAAGTGAGGAGCATAAAAAAACTTGGTTTGGGGCGTCTGGGTAGCTCAGTTGGCTGTGTCCAACTCTTGATTTCAGGTCAGGTCATGATCTCAGGGTCCTGAGATTGAGCCCCGTGTAAGTAAGGCTCTGCACTGGGTGTGAAGCCTGCCTGAGATTCTCTCTCCCTCTCCCTCTGCCTACGCCCCACTGCACTCTTGCACCTGCTCTCCCTCCCCAAATAAATAAGTAAAATCTTTAAAAAATATATAACTTGAGGGATCCTGGGTGGCTCAGTCCTTAAGCGTCTGCCTTCAGCTCAGGTCATGATCCCAGGGTCCTGGGATCGAGCCCCACGTTGGGCTCCCTGCTCAGTGGGGAATCTGCTTCTCCCTCTCCCTCTGCCCCTCCCCCCTGCTTGTGCGCGCGCTCTCTCTCTCTCTCTCTCTCTCAAGTAAATAAATAAAATCTTTTAAAAAAATAATAACTTGGTTAAGTTGAGGAAGATATCTTTAAACCTCAGAGGTGACAAATAAGACCCATCGCACTCCAAATTCTACCAAGCCACGACATCTACCTCTGTGGCACACGCAAACCCCATGCCTGGAACCTTACCCATAACACAAAAAAAAAGATTTAGAATAAACAAGAAATAAAAGGTATCTGAGCTTAAGACTTTCAAAAGTCTAAAATCCAGTCTTTGGGCTGATGCTGAGAAGGACAAGACAGCCTGCCCAGATGGTGCTGGGAACCAACATCGGAATCCCTGGCACAGAGACGCTGACAAGGGGGCAGAACCTGGAAGAGCTGCCAAGACAGGCGGTCAGGTAGTGCAGGCACCACATGCAGCTGTGCTCTGACCCCTGATTACGTGGTTACCCAGCAGGCACTGCCTTCCTGAAACATCAACCTTCTGACATCTTCCTGACACGTTTCCCTTCCACATTCAAATCTTCTTGGTCTCTGTCTGGGGTTTTTTAACACTCTATCGCCTTCCTCGCTCATCCTCGCCTCAAAGCCACACCTTGTGCAGCCCTAGAAATACAATCTAGTGGGCTCTCCTATCACTCTTTGTGAAAATATTTTCCCACCATTCGAGATCTTTCCATCAGGCTATTTTCTTTCCTGGTCTTCAAAAGAAAGATTCTGCTTGAAAAAATAAGCTCAGCTCAACGTCTACTGTGACTCAGATTTTCAGGGAATAGGATGAGCAAGAGAAATGCATGCAATTTAAATAGAAAAATCAAATGGAGTCAAGAATGTGGTAACTTATTAATCAGAGATGAAAAGAAAGCAAACTAAAGAGCAAGCAGCTTCTGAGCTGTTAGAACTAGTTTGTTTTGGTTTTTGTTTTTTAAGACATCTGCATAGAAATACTGACTTTAAAAAGAAGTTCTTGGGGCTCCTGGGTGGTTCAGTCTTTAAGCATCTGCCTTTGGCTCAGGTCATGATCCCAGGGTCCTGGGATCGAGCCCCACATCGGGCTCCCTGCTCCACGGAGAGCCTGCTTCTCCCTCTCCCACTCCCCCTGCTTGTGTTCCCTCTCTCGCTGTGTCTCTCTCTCTGTCAAATAAATCAATAAAATCTTAAAGAAAAAAAAAGTTCTTCAAATGCACTGAAAACTAAGAAATACCTGGGAACCAAAACATTTATCCTAAAACCAAAGGTCAAACTCAAAGCCTGTGTTCATTACCATTCTACCAAGAAACAATCTGAATGCTGATCATGACAACAAAAAATGTTAGCACTTTGGGAGAAAGACTGTAAGCAGTGATCTGACTAAACCATTCCTGTTAAAGGACTGCCATTTTTTAAATAATTAGTGAGAGCCTCCTACATGCCAAGCACTACGGCAGAGGTTACAAAGCAAAAACCAGGACTACAGTTTGTGTCTATTTCCCAAAATAAGTGAAAATGCAAGAATGATTCAAGGACATTAGACTGATCATCTTGATTTCACAAAATTCCTAATTAGCTTCTCAACAGATTCTGAAAAGACTGAATAAAAATCAACACCGATGTGGAGAAAGGGGAGCCCTCCTACCCTGTTGGTGGGAATGCAAGCTGCTGCAGCCACTCTGGAAAAGTGTGGAGGTGCCTCAAGATGTTAAGAATAGAGCTACCCTATGACCCAGCAATTGCACTAATAGGTATTTACCCCAAAGACACAGATGTAGTGAAAAGAAGGGCCATATGCACCCCAATGTTCATATCAGCAATGGCCACAATAGCCAAACTGTGGAAGGAGCCGAGATGCCCTTCAACAGGTGAATGGATAAAGATGTGGTCCGTATATACAATGGAATATTACTCAGCCATCAGAAAGGATGAATACCCAACTTTTACATCAACATGGATGGGACTGGAGGAGATTATGTTAGTAAGTCAAGCAGAGGAAGAATTATCATATGCTTTCACTCATATGTGGAACATAAGCAATAGCACGGAGGACCATAGGGGAAGGGAGGGAAATCTCAAGGGGGAGAAATCAGAGAGGGAGACAAACCATGAGAGACTATGGACCCCGGGAAACAAACTGAGGGTTTCAGAGGGGAGGAGGTAACAGGGTGATGGGTATTGAGGAGAGCACATGCTGTGACGAGCACTGGGTGTTATATGTAACTAATGAATCACTGAATACTACATCAAAAACTAATTATGTACTATACAGTGGCTAACTGAACATAAATACATAAAAAATTAAACACCCCTTCCTAAAAACTGCAGCTCATCATTTACAATAGGGTAAAACTGTTCAAGAGTAGAAGAATGATTATCATACTTTGCACTGAAAAAAAAAAGCCTCTAGGTGATAGTAAAGAAAACTATACAGCAAGATTTAAAAATGGAAAGAACTCCACTCTAATGGGAAGCATAACAAAATCAGAGGACTAAATTTCATCTGCGGTGTCAACAGAGCTTTGTAAATTATATGCACACCCGATGACAACGAGGACCAAAAGGAAACAAGGTACTGAAGAGATTTATTTGAATGGTATGAGAGCAGCTAAATTTTTCATGTTGACAACCATTAAATTACATTAAGCTATTCTTTAGGAATTAAGTTCTATCAAAGAAGACTAGACAGAGTGCGAGGGCAAGAATGAATGCGAAAGAGGCACGAAAGACGCTGACTTTCTAAAACCCCAGATGCCACCGGCTGTGAAGCTGTGGCTCGAGAAGAGAAGGGTGACTTTGCCGCGCGGAGCGCCCCTGAACCCGAACCCGGGAGAGAGCGCCACCTGGGAATCAGTCTAACCCGCCCAACAGGTTATTCCTCTCAGGCCAGTCCTTCCGCCCTCTCCGCCCTGCAGCTCTCAGTTGGGGCTGGTTTCGCCCGCTGTATAAACACCACACACGGAGCAGCCCAGCCCACCACCAGGCAGGATGGGGAAGTAAGCAGCGAGCGCGGTGACCTGGACACAGAAAGTGACCTTAACACGTGAGCTGCTTTCGACCCCGAGGGCCGTCGGGCGCGCGCACGTGCGCCCCCCCGCCCCCCCCGCCCCCCCCTTACCTGTTGAAGCATCTCTTCAGCGGCATTGAGTTTCACCTGGTGTCCTTCCAGACACACTTCCAGGTCCCGAATCTTCTCTCCCTGGGCTTCCACTTGGTCCGTGAGGACACTCACCTGTCCCAAGAAATAAAGCAATGGTGGAGGCGCAGAGACGGCTCACTTGGGGCCGTGAAACCACGCTGCCGATCCTGATCCTTCCGTAGAGATGGCTTTCCTTTCTGGCAGGTGGCGGGGGCGGAGCGGGGGTGGGAAGCGAGGGTCCCGGATGCAGGAAACTCCGGCTGCCGTCTTGCCTCGCCCCTGCCTGCCTGCCGTCGCCGCGTTCCCCCTCTTGCCGCCCTGGCGGGAGAACCGGCTGCCTCGGGGCTGGGTCCCGCTCCCGCGTCCTCTCACAGGGCGCACGCCCAGGCTGGCCCTGCAGGCGTATCTCGGCCGGCCTGCCAGGGCTCCTGCCACCTCACCGCGTGTGCGAGAGCAAGCCCAGCTCCTCGGGAGACTAACCAATGACCTTACCTCTCTCACTGGGGTGTGATGACTGCTCACCTACCAGGCGAGGCTTCTGAAGCAATCAAGGAATGTGGGATGTCAAGGGCATGTGTTGGCACTGACAGACTTGGCTCCGGGAAGGTGTTTGTGCCTCACCGGCCAAAACATGGCTCTAAGTCATAACACACACCAGCCACCCGCACATGCAGTGGCAGGAAAGCCCTCTACCTAAAAAAATCACGGAGAGATCTGTTGGAATTAATAAAAATCCATTTATAGCAAGTCATTCAAGTTATGCCCTTAATACATGCTGAGAGGACTTTCACAGCCTGCTCTCGTAGCAAACTGCCCCCCCCCCATCCTCCTTTTTATTAAAAAGGCGCCTTAGAACAGGGAGATGAAGAAAGAGAATGGGTGGCCTCTCCAAATAGAGAAATCAGTGACTGGCAAATTGAGATCCTTTAGACACTATGGGTTCTTAACCAATGGTGGAGTCGTGGCCATTTACATATAGATTACCTTAAGTGATTTCTCAGTGTAAAGGAATGATAGCTGGAGCATGAAGGAGTTAGTGTGAATTCACTTCTGAGCGTTTAAATAGACTATTAATCATAAAGCTCCCTTTACAGAGGAAAAAGTCTAAATTAATACTGCTACTTTCAGCTTTTCATTTTTGTATTTCCACACAATTAAAGAATGACTGGAACATATTCCTGGAGTTGGTACGTAGTGTGCTAATATTTCACTTACAGTCCCCAAAACAGGCGCCTTCTGTCAATTAGGCCCATCTCAAACACAAACCTTTGTGGTGGTGTTTTCAATCCTCATGATCCAACATTACCAGCAGTCCTGGCCTTTTATAGCTACCAACCCTACCTTCAAAAGGGTAGGATTCTAGGGGGTGGCCTTTCCAAGCTCCCTGGGTTCCAGAGTTTCTGTTTGGGAAGGATGTGTGATGGTTAATCTGATTATGAGGATTAACACGTATCGTGTGCACCACGCCTCAGAGTCATGCGCGGGAGGTACCCAGAGGAATAATCTGCGGTCTCTTGCACTCCATAGCCTGTCACTCGGCTGTGCACAAGACTCAGGATACACAGGGCTACAGCATCCTTACAAACTTGAATACTCACTAGAAGGACCATGGAGAGGCCCAGAATATTGGGACAAATGTATAAAGATCCTAGAATGTGACCTTTATTCAATAAAAACAAATACTTTTTGAGTCCCTTCTACATGCGAGGCATAATTTTAGGCATTGGAGGGAATATAGAAGTGGTAAAAAAAGGAGGAGGTGAAAAGCCTTACCTTAAAAAATACATTCCCATGAAGACAGAAAAGATTTTGGTTTAAGTACTCATGCTACTGAAGCGAGCACAGAAGATTAGGGGTTTATTTTTAACTTACTCTGAAAACAAAGTATTTTGTCATGTGTGATTTGCCTTGCTCCTCTACAAGTAGACCCAGGAAAACATTCTGGGCCAAGTGCTTCAATTAATTCACTCTGGCTGAGCTGCCTTGTAAGTTAAGGAAGAGGCTCTACCAGGTGAGGGCTAACTAGCTCGATGGGGTCACCACAAATCACAGTGATCACCTAAGAGCAGCTCTGAAAGTCCGTTCACAAGCTCCTGGAATAGATACCATTAGGATCCACTTCTGACTTCTGTGATAAGCAGCTTCCTAATTGTGTTAGGATTATTGCAATAAGGATTATTCAAGACTCAGAAATTAAAAAACAAAACAAAACTGTGAATGTCAAAGAGAACATCATCACATAGGACTTGCTTATTAAATTCCTTTAAACAGGTAAGTGTTAGTTCTGCCATGAAGGTTCCTGGTTCAAAAGTCTGCGAGATCACTGTTACTGCAAAATTTTAAACTGGACACTCTGATTAATCATGTCATTAGGATGGACTTTCAAATTACTCATTCCTCAAAATATGTGCGATATAATGTGCTATGTAACCCGGCCCCTCCTACCTCTCTGAAGGCAGTTCCCCACCAGACTTCTTCACGGTCATAAATTCCAGCCACACAGACCCTTGCTTGCTTCTTCCTATACACCAAGCACACTCCTCGCTAGGGTGTGTGCTGGACCAACTACCTCCTCTGTCTGGAATGTGCTTCTCCAGGCATCCGCGGGGCTCCCTCCCTAGCTTCCTTCAGGACTCCCCCCTCTCAGGGAGGTCTTCTCTGACTACACAGTCCTTACCTTGCTTTATTTTTCTCCACAGTATTTATCACTGCCAGAAACATTTTATGTATTGATTTACTATACACACACACACACATACACACAGACAGACACACACACACACACATACACACACACAAGCCCTATTAAGAACAGGGAGTTTGTTTATTTTCATCACCGCTGCAACCCTGGCACCTAAAACCAGTGTCTGCCAAGTTGTGGGCACTCCAATCTTTTCTCATGAACAAACTAATGGAGAAAAAAGTCCCTGAAGATGCAAAATTATATAACTATATATTTGGTCTGAGCTTAAATTTTTTAAAAACAGGGGCAGGACAGGAAAAAAAAAGGTCTAGGAAGAAAGGTCAAAATGTTAAACTCTTTTTGACTTTCCAAAGTTCCTGAAATAATCACTTACTACTCTTAGATTTGTAAAAAGGTAAAATAGAAGGAAAAAAGCCAAACATACGGCAGCCTTGTCATTCCAGGGCTCTAAGCTAAAGCCCACAGTCTGTGAAGGGTTGTAGAACCCTACCTGTCCCCTCTTCTGTTTCACTACCAGTCTGGTCTACCACTCTTCAAAAGCTTTTTAATGAGCCAGGATTGGAATAGTCATCTTCTCAGTCTCCAAATCAATAATCACAGTGTCTGTTACATACCAGACAGCAAACAAATGCTTGATGTACGCATCTGAGAGCTAAAACAGCAAAGAACCCCTATCACAATGACACGCCTTACATAAGGAGGCTCAACACTATGCCCTGCCAAGGAACATGAGTTTTCAGAACAGAAAATGTTCCTTTGACTATCTTTCTCCATAAAAAGTTTTGGAGTTCCTCTCTTTGAGGAGAGACAGTCATTCAAGACTCATTATCCCCTATTACCAGCTCCGGGGGATTTGGCCTCAAAGGGATCAGTCTAGATCCAGCTCCAGATGATTTGGGCCTGATCCAGTTAGAATCCACCCTATGTCCATATCACTCATGGCTGTTTTATTAGAGACAGGAAGACACATCTTATCTCCCTTCCAAGGCTTCTGGGCTCCTAGAGGACAGGGCCTCATTCATCAGCCTGGTCACAGAGCTTCCAGTGTAGAGAAGAAGTGGGTACTCAGCAGTACAAGATGAATAAATGAATGCATTCACAGCCCCAAGGCCAAGTCCAGTTAAACTGTGGCTTCAGTTCCTTTCTGCTTTGTTTCAGGAACTGAGTCTTTTTAAAAACATACACTTTCGGAACAGAATAAATCCAACAGAGAAAACCTCTTGTGCCTCCCTCCCACTTAGGGTACCTACAGAGTTGGAGGTAAAAGGATAAGCTCTTTCCCACGAAAGTGGACCCACCTGTAAAATGAGGGACTCCTTATCTCCTTCTAGACGTGCCAAGCGTTCCTGGTACGTTTCATTACTAGCAGCACCTTGGTGATTTACCTGAGACTGAAAGGGGGAAGAAAAAAAGTATACACTTAAAAGGCTGGAAAAACATCTTACCAACTTCCAAATGAAGAATGCAATTTGTGAGGACAGTTTCGCTGGTTGCATGTGCAAAACCACCCACCTAAACAGGAAACCACAGGATTTCAAAACTACTATGAGGAGGACCACTGATAGGTGTGCCTTGAAAGCTGGCCAAACCACCCCCTGGATGACCTCACCCTTGGCCGGGAAGGCCTCAATGGAACTCCAGACCCAGTGGTGCTTGGCTTGACTGGGCATGTCGGGTCTGGTGCAGGCAGAGGCACAGCCTGCCAGAGGTACCGATGGCAAGGAGTCTACTCTTTGAGGAGGCCAGGGAGCTAGTACCAGTCACCAAGGAACTATGTGGGAACGAGTCCCGCATAGACCTCGGTCTCTCCTAACTCTCACGTGAGGGTTCTCCAGAGCCAAGGTACCCCTTACAGCACGGAGGCCCATCTTGAGCGCCGCGGGGAGCACAGAGGATGGGGGACACCAGCTGCAAGGCCCTTCATCCACTCACACATCCCTTCCAGGGATGGCCAGTCCCTCCCCTCCACTAGGGCTCCAGCCTAATGGCAGCCAGGCTGGCATCCTGTGTGCTTGCTTCTCTCAGCTCTAACTGCAGGAAAAGGTGAAACACCCTGAGAAGACCCCATGTGACAGTCAGAGGGACCTCAAAGAGCTAACAGGAAACAAAGTATCCAGAAAGTGGAAAACAGCAGAGGGAGAAGATGTGAATTAGCAGACGGGAGGCAGAATTTATAAAATGCTTGAGCAAGAGACAGGAGGCTGCAGACACTTTTCAGGTGTGCCTGACCTGGTTGTAGGCAGGGAGGAGGGAGAGAGATGGCTGCTAATGGGACTGAATTGGCCCAATGCCATCAATACTCCCTTCCTCCCAGCTTAATGGAAGGCCGAAACCCAGAGGCTCAGAGTAGGCCATTCAGGGGTTTGGCAGCCTGAAAAAGCAGATCTTATTGCTAAATGGGTAAGTGACAATCATCATAATCCAGGCTGGTCCAAAGGAGTAAATGCTCCGAGGTTTATGAGGCAGTATCCTCCATTCCAAAGGTAAGTCATAGTTGTGCCAAGGAGTGGGTCAGAGAGGAACCCAGGCACAGAGTCCCGGAGGTGGCTCCCTTCTCCTGAGCCCATTTCCCCACGTTCTGACCTTCAGGATGGGCTTGCCAACCCCCCCTCCATGAAGAAGGGGCACCTCCTTCCTTCCCTTGTCCCACCCCTTCCCCAGTGCACACCAGGTAAGGGCAGGGGACAGTCAGGCTCAGTCCTGGAACAGACACAGGGACCAAGAAACAGGGACAGCATTCAAGGCCTGGAGTGTCACCTGTGAGAGAAGCACCTGCTGTTGAAGGTGCAGGGAGAGGCCAGCCCGGGGGCCGGTTCCTAGGGCGGCTGTACCAGGCCTAGGCTCTAGGCTCACCAGGCCACAGTGCCCACTACCACCCCACTGCCCTTGGCTCCAGCCGCTCTCTAGTCTGCATCTTGTTCATCGTTATGCAAGCTCTTTCATACTCTAGACAAAGGGCCTTCACAATCACAAATGCCTTCTTTGTGGGGAGGGCAGTTTATTGTTGTGACATTAATTCTGCTCCTCACATGGTCAAACTCCGACGAGTACGCAAGGATATAATTACCACCCATGTTTTCTCAGACCCTCAAAAGAAAGGAAAACAACTGCTAACAGCAGGTCAAGTGCTTCTCTGTGGAGTAACTCACACGGTGGTGAGGAAAGGACCCAGGCCCCCACGGACAGCCGTGCGTGTCTGGCCCCAGGACCACAGTCAGCATGTGTAAGGGGCTGCCCAGCACTGCCAGCTGCCGCTTCTCCTCAGGAAGTCAAGGAGAGAAGACCAAAGGGAAGACTCCCTCCTCAAGACTCCAGCAAGCCACCACACCCCTGTGCCTCAGGCAAAGGGAGGACAGTACGTTCCTCATGTTACAGGTCTACCCGTACAATCACCCAGAGAAACAGCTATTTTTACTAACTGACCCAAAACTGAGTTGATGTCCTAAGATCAGTTAATACACAAAATGCATGCCATAGAGTCTGTAACAGATGCTAGACCGTAGTTAAAAAAAAAAAAAAAAAAAAATCTGGATCCACTCTAGCAACCAGGGGAAAAAGCAAAGCACAGTGAATTACAAGATGCCCAGATCAGTATGCTGAATAAAGTCAAACTGACTGCCTAGGAGAAACATAACTATTCCCACAGAAAGGAGAGACTTCAGAGTTTTCACAGAGAGACTCTATGCAATGGGGTAAACATCCAACAGCCATGATGCTATCCTCACAGGAAACAGAGCCCAGCAGAACTCCCTGCTTTCTTGGGATGCCCTCTAAACACGTCAAAGGTTAATGGATCACATGGGCCAAAGGCAAAAGAAATTCAACCCATTGTGGCCCAAGCAAAGTCCTGTAGACATACAGCAAGCATTTACATAGGGCCCAACATTGCCAGGTACTGTTTAGAGCACTTTGCAAGCCTTAACTCTTTTAATACTTCCCATAATCCTATGATAGGAGTACTACATTGATTCCATTTTGCAGATAAGGGAACCGAGGCACAAAGTGTATGAACAAGGCATAAAATGGATATTTTGCCTAAGTGACTATGTAGTAAATTAGTAAGTTTCTGTTACAGCTTAATTGAGGAGATCAAGTACAAATTTTGTTTTATATGTTGGGATTGTATGAAAATTCACTTAAAATAAGGTTTGAAAACACTGTCTGAACCTAAATGCCCATTAATAAAGGAGTGGCTAAATAAACTATGGTTCATCCACATTACGGACAATTTGTGGCATTTCCATAACATGAAGTTGATATTTATGAACTGTCACAAAAATGTAAGACATATTGGATAGTGAAAATAGCAAGATCCAAAGAATCATACAGAGTGACATCAGAAAACAACACTATGGGACTTTGTGAGTATATGACATATGCGTGAAAATAAACTGACCTAGTGTCTAGAAGGCTACACAGCGACCCGTAACAGTGCTCTTTTCTGGGGAAGTGTCTGGGCTATGGAAAGCTGGGGGTGGGAGGTTCGGTCAAGGTGGGCTTTTATTTCAACCATAACCATTTTTGTAAGAAGCTCAAATATTTTCTTGAAGAAATAAAAAACATTTTAAAATCTAGAAGCACTGTTGGGAGTACCTACAGTGATGCTTCCCGGTACTTCCTCCCGCCCACAGCAGCCCTGAGGGACATACCCTCTCCCAGCAGGCACCCTTGTCCATAGGATGGCATGCTCCTGGCAGAAAGGCACCTCCCTTGCCCCAAATCACTGTTTGAGAGTAACAGAGCACCTTCCCCTCTCGTTCAGTCTACCAAAATCACCACTGTTCTCTAGCAAGCTTTCGAGAGGTATTGAACAGCAGTGAAATGGAGACAATGTCCCGAACACAAGTCTGCAGTATCGCCATCCTATGCTTTTCCTGACACACTGAGCCAGGTCTTCTCAATCTAGATCAGATTGGTACCTTCAAAACTGTAGTCCCTTAGAAAGGCACAGACCAGGATAAAACACCATCTCCACTGAGCACAGAGCCAAGAAGAGGATTATCTTAGAATTATCTTATTGAATGCCAATACTCAACAGCCGAAGGTGAGGATTTCATTAGGGCAGAAAAGGCATGTGGTTATGAAAATGTCATTCCAACTACTCAGAAACATGTTTAAAAAGAGCTGAGATCCAGCTCGGCTTTGTTCTACTTTAAAAAGAGCTTGTTTGTCCAAGGGTATACTGGTTTCCCTAATTCCCTAATTCTAACAGTGAAATTGCAATAGAAGGCTCAGATCAATTTGGAGACTGTCCATTGGGATCCCCGAGTGGCTCAGGTTTGGGAGTCTCTGAAATTCTTGCCTAGGAGGTAAATCAGTGATAGAGTAGCCCAGCTCTCCATGCATAAGGTCAGACTGAGAGACCCAAGCTGACATTCTACTAAGGGAAGAGAGTCAAGTCAAATTCTGAAGGGTGCTACATGCTGAATTTCTATTCCTTCACACTCTAGCATGGCAGGTGAATTTAAATAAAGTTCTACCCTGTTCTACTCTTTCAAAGATGCTCATCCCACTGATGAGTAAAAATGACCTCTTTTTATTTATATTCCACTAATGAGATTAGCTCCAAGGCTAGACCTGTCAAAATAGATTACTGATGTACTAGGTGGGATATGCATCTATCTTATGTTAACTCTTCTGTTTTGATGGTTAGTTCTACAGACTTGACAGAAGAAAAATGGGGGTGCCTGGGTGGCTCAGTTGGTTGGGCAGCTGCCTTCGGCAGCTGATCCTGGAGTCCCTGGATCAAGTCCCGCATCGGGCTCCCTGCTTGGCGGGGATTCTGCTTCTCCCTCTGACCCTAACCCCTCTCATGTGCTCTCTCTCATTCTGTCTCTCAAATGAATGAATAAAATCTTTAAAAAAAAAGAAAGAAAAATGGATCTTCTCATTTTTTTCTATGGTCAAAGCTGTTCCTCAATCTATAACCAAGGTCAGTTACCTGATATATTGTGTGGGACCAAGAGATACTGTGTGGAACCAAGGGATCTGTGTGCTCTATGGAGGTAGAATGGCAACTACAGATGGACATTTCCATGTCCTGTTGCATCTTGACTGAAAAATGCCACAGTGGAACATGCTTCCTCTCTCGTATCACAGAAATGAATAGATGGGGAGGTCTTCTTGTATGTATGTTGTCACTAACTGGGAAACTTCAGCCAAGATTATTGAAGCCAAACCACCTTTGCCTTTATCAAAGCTTTGCTCTCAAGAATCTGGGCAATCCATGCTCTAAAACCCAGAACTCTCCAAGGCAAATAGAAGACACAATCCATAACGGTCAGATCAAGGTCTTCCTGAGGCCTTGACAGTGATGTTTTTGAGAGTCCTCAGGAACAGAGAAAACACAGCACCTCGACTCTTGCAAGGTTATGGATTTCTAGAAGACCCC